TCTTTTTTAGTTAGACAGTGTGTGTGTGTGTGTGTGTGTGTGTGTGTGTGTGTGTTGGCTGTCAAAGAGAATTAGGACGGGTGAAACACAAGGCTTTTACGTGGATGCCTTGAATGGCAAGATGAGGACACTCAAAAGACGATCTTCATGTAATATGCAGGGTCTAATCTGAAGCCCTATCACTGGCAATTTCCTGAACGGAGCTGATGCTTTGATAGCTGTTGTTTTACACTCCTTTCTTTTTCCTCTCACCCACATTCATTCTCGTTTAGCCTTCTGCTCTAATCTTTCTGCTTTAGTTGAAAATATTGAAGGAATGTTCAATGCAAGTTGAGCTCAATCAACATAATTTGTGGCATAATTTTACCACACAAAGTAATTTATATCAATACAAAATAATTTATTATAAGCATCAATTTCTTTAAAGAGGGTTTAAAAGGTTTAAAGACCGATATGTGAAGGCCATGATTTTGTCCAGCATTTATTGCACGCTAAATCATGAAAATGTATTTAAGCTGTAAATTTGTCTAAACCATCATTTTTGCAAATTAACTTATTCATGCAAATTAACTGATTTAAGACAATGGTGTGGCAAACTAAGTGATTCTATCACAGTATTTTATTGTTAACATATAACAAGTATATATATTATTAATTATGATTTTATACACACATAAATATATATAAATTCGTGCTGTCAAAATTAACGTTAACGCATGCAATTATTTTTTTTATTAAAAATATTTAATGCAGGGGCGGAGCTAGGGTTGGCCACCCCACTCATAACTGCTGTTCTGTCTCATTTTTCTTGATAAGAATTGTGTTTATTTAGACGCAGATCGTCATCAAACGGGAGACTTTTCAGACGCGCACTCCAACTTCACCTCAGCGCCAGGCACGAGTCAAACGAGTATGGAAAAGATGAGGAGCTTCAGCAGAACAACTGTGAACAGCGGTCAGATGAGATGCTGTCAGGCCATGTGTCAGTAAAAACACATTTTCCTGTCCTGTCAGCCGTTATAATGTGCTCATAGCGTGTGCTCTTCAATTGCACACACAAATGCAGTGGCGCGTGCTGTATATAATTTCATATTAAAGCGCAAATGAAACCACAAGCATGCAATGTCGTAGTTATGTCATCAGTTAAGTCATGAAGTTACCAAAAAGGCAACTGAAGCTGCCTTAAAATTGTGCATGCATGCATTTGTTATACATGAGTCCCATTTAAGAACATGTCTCTGAAATGCAGTGGTTTTTCAAACTGTCCTGGAGCAGCAGCACTGTCTCACTCATCGAACACACCCGATTCAACTCGTCAGCTCATTATAGAGACTTTAAGACCTGAAGCAGGTCAGAAAAGTAAAGAGTTGTGAGAAAATATGATGTGTGTCAGATCCGCATCATGTTCAGCAGCAGCAGCTCTTCAGCAGCCAAAATAACCCAATAACCCAGCTGTTGAAATCTTAAAACTAATCGCTCTCAATTATACTGTAATGTTGAATGGCTATAGTAACTGGTTAAATATTAGGAGGAAAAAAACTATTTCCTACAGACATCAGTAGTATTGTTATCTGTGATACTCGCCTTCAGTCATAAAAGATGCCAGCAAACAAGTATTTAAAAAATACTGTCTTTATGTTGTTTCTACATTAATTTGAAGTGAATGAATGTGAAATTATTGCAATATAAAAGTATATTTAAAAACTTTAATGTTAGGTGGGATTAATCGCGATTAATTTAAGAAAAAACGTCAGGTCAGAAAAGTAAAGAGTTGTGAGAAAATATGATGTGTGTCAGATCCGCCAGCAGCCAAAATAACCCAATAACCCAGCTGTTGAAATCTTAAAACTAATCGCTCTCAATTATACTGTAATGTTGAATGGCTATAGTAACTGGTTAAATATTAGGAGGAAAAAAACTATTTCCTACAGACATCAGTAGTATTGTTATCTGTGATACTCGCCTTCAGTCATAAAAGATGCCAGCAAACAAGTATTTAAAAAATACTGTCTTTATGTTGTTTCTACATTAATTTGAAGTGAATGAATGTGAAATTATTGCAATATAAAAGTATATTTAAAAACTTTAATGTTAGGTGGGATTAATCGCGATTAATTTAAGAAAAAACGTGTGATTAATTAGGTTTTTTTAATCGATTGACAGCACTAATATAAATACATAAATAAAATCAGAAATAAATAAGAAGTCAACACTCTCACTTGCATATTTATAAAAAGAACAAAGCGCTGGAAAAATGGAATAAAAATAGAATACAAAGGTATATTAAAAGTCGCATGTGTCTAACGTAGCTCTATACAACTATCAATAAAACACATATAAGTGAAAAGCGATAAACCACAATAGGCTTATAGAAGATGATGAAAATTGATCCTGTGTTGGGAATAAAGGGATTCGTTTCAGAGAAATGCAATAAAATTGCAGTTAAGAATCGCTGTCTAACAGCAGAGCAGCCCTCCTGATCCTGAGTGATTAAAAACTAGTCTATGACCCTAACCTTTAACCTCTAGCCCTAAACCTACTCCATCTTGTACCACAGATATTAATTAGAAAATTTGTGCAGACGGTACCATATCCACCTGGATTCTATTTTGGGATGAGAAGGAAATGCAAGCAAAAGAAACTGAATCCATCAACATCCTCCCATACTTATTGCCTATTCTGTCAGCAAATACACTGCTTCAGTTCCTGTCTACAACAACAGCATTTCCTGTGCAGGGATGTCCTGATTAACCACAGGATCAACGGGAGACCCTAAAGTTCTTCCAAAAAATCTTCCACATTCATAAAACAAAATTAACCCCCTACAACAGACTGTGTAATTTAACTGGGGGTAAACAGGGCTCAAGACCTCATTTGAGCTTTGTCGCCTTTTCCACGGTTTCTCCCCACACAATAAAATTACATTTGCATCAGCTCTAAGAGAATTTAGTCGGGGTGATTTATTAAAGTAATCAGCAGCAACGCAGCCTTTTCGTTGCAGCGCAGGGCCTGCAATGCGCCGCCGCTGGAACGGGGTTTGGGCCGGAGGCTTTTTTTCAGTGGAGGCAGGCAGAACCCAAATACTCCCCTTTGATTAGATTAGCATTACACAACAGCGTGACAGATATGACAAATAGGTGCATTAGAGCATGTCATTTATTCTCTCTTTTCTAGATGCTTGGGTTCACAGAGGGACCCCCACCTCACGCCTCACTACTGCAAATATATGCGGCCCCTGACACCCCGTCTGATGCCTGATCCCTCTGGATTACCTTCAGAGAGGGTTATAGGAGGACAAGAGCTTTATTTCTGAAAATAAAAACACTGAATAAAGAGGCAACGAGTGCTTGGTTATGTGTATTACTCATTTGTATGTAAACCAAACAAAATGATTGTCACTGAAAACCTGTAGTAGCCCTGACTTGATGTGTGTGTGTGTGTGTGTGTGAACTGACATAATATCACACACTTCAGCGACTCTCCTCCTCTAAGGGCAATCTATGGCTACCTCCATTAGCCCTCATCAAACACTCAAAAGGGAGCATATGCATAATGCTGGTTTCCATTTTTTGTGGGGTCATTCCATAGACCTGATGGTTTTTATACTGTACAAACTGTATTTTATATCCCCTTATCCTAACACTTCCCCTAAAACTACCCCTCACACAAAACTTTTTAGATTTTCAAAAACTTAATTCTGTACGATTTATAAGCTTGTTTTCTCATGGGGACCAAAAAATGTCCCCACAAGGTCAAAATGTATTGGTATTACTATTCCTTGTGGGGACATTTGGTTCTCATAATGTAGGGAATACAAACACACACACAATTCTACCATCATAACACTGATTTCATCTTATTAAACACTGAAATATGCACCCATAACTCAAACACTGACACACTAACTTCGCAATGTAAATGGTGACATACCATAGACCTCTAATGTTTTTATATAAAGTTTATTATAATGACTACAGGCTAACCTTTGCACAAACCTCCAACCCATCATCCTAACTCATTTACAATCCCCTCTCTAGATCCCTTGATAAATATTAACCAGTTTTAAAGCATAACATTATAAGCTTGATATTAATATAAAATAAGATCTTAATATTTTTATATTATTTTTAATATTATCATTAAAAGCTTCCTGTATATAT